TTAGATTCCCAATGAAATATTACATTAATGTTTTATAGGCCTGGGGCCTGGAGAGACTAATATTCAAGCAGTAATGAGTGTTTTAGACCCCAAGCATCCACTGCATGTACAAGTTGTATTGTTTGTTGGGTCACAAGACAACACAGTTCCAGAGTGACAGAGGCAGAACTGAGGGACACTGAGCAGGACTGTCCACTGAGGAGCCCAGCACAATAACGAACACCATCTTGAAACTTTGGCTTTGATACCAGGCAAGTTCTGCTCTAAGTAGGTAAAGTGAAGAATAACTTTGCCTTTATGGCATGCCTGCTTAGAAGTAAAGCACATAAGAACCCTTTGAAGTAATATCACAGAAACTAAGTATTGACATTTCTGTGGAGGATAGTTCTTTTTTGTCAAGGATGCAAATTCTTGAGCCCTACTCCAGACCTACGGACTATAAAGTGAGAGCAGAGCCACCCCTCCATGTGATTCTGAAGTTGGCTGAAGTTTGAGAAATAGCAATATAACTCAACTCCCTCACCTTACAATTCTAGAACCAGAGAGGCTGGTTAAGTAGTGCCTACGCAAGGTCAAACAGCTGGTCAGCAGCCAAAGCAGCACGCCATATCTCCTCGTCCAGAGCATTTATTACAAGTGGCCTTGCAGGAAGATGTGGCTATCCTGCAGGGATATGTCATTCCAGCACCCACCACGGTAATGACACATGGAACATCCTGCTGCACAGCAGAAAAGAGTCCCAGTCTGGCTGAATATGTTTCTCAACAAGCTGTATGGCAATCCAGCAACCAAGGATATAAAGAAGCCACATTCAACCAGATAAGTAGGAGTGGAGACATGGAGGTGGGGCAAAGAGGCGTGGAGGTGCAGTGTGGCACAAAGAGGCAGCAGAATGAGTGGTCCCACATTCATGTGCAGTGGATAAAAACTGGGAGGGATACCTCGGGAGTGAGGGATCCCAGCCCCAGGCCAGACCACACATCCCAGGGTTCCAGCGCCAGGAAGATAAATCCCCATAACTTCGGGCTGTAAAAACCAGTGGGTTTGGGGCAGTGAAATAAACTGCTGGATTTTTAGGAGACTCCTCTTAAAGGGCCAACACAGACTTAAAACTTACACAGACACATCCCCCTCTGAGATTCAGCACCAGAGCAACAGCTGGAAGGGCACCAATCACATACAGGGAGAAAGTGAAGTGACTAGAAACAGGGCGTGTGCTAAGCAAACCTCCAGAAGCCACGCAGTGGCATTATCCCCTCTCCAACCCCTCCCCACACACACAGCTACAAAGTGGTGAAGTGGGTTGTCCCACCCTGGCGATTACCTAAGCCTCCACCCTACATAACTTACAGGTGCCTTTTCTACAATAGGCCACACTACAAAGACAGGAAGTCAAAGCAGCTCTACTTAATACACAGAAACAAACACAGGGAGGCTGCAAATTGAGGAGATAAAGAAATATGGCCCAAATGAAAGCACAGAACAAAATCCTAGAAAAATAACTAAACAAAATGGAGACAACCAACCTATCAGATGCAGAGTTCAAACTTGGTCTAGATTCCCAGGTTTCCTAGGCTTCCATGCAGAACACTTCACTTTTATTGACATTATTTTTCTAAAGATATATTAATAACATGATTAGTTTACAATGAGGCTGCTTTATTGTGTCATCTTCTTGACTGTTATTACTACATCCCTATTCTACTATGCAATCACTTGGAGTTAGAAGGGGCCTTATTTTTACAACCATAGTAATTATTACTGTTACTGATGTTGATAGATATATATTGATTCAAGATTTTAAAGCTTACTGTGAGATTGACTGGAAGAGAAAGCAGCTTGTGTATGTCTGAAAATGAAAACTGTTCAGCTCTGTGCATTTGAGGAAAACTCTTACTCTTGGTTGCTTATTTAAAAAATAGATTACAGTGCAAAAATCATTTCTATTCCTGATAAATGAGCATAAAAATAAAAAATAAACCACCACTTATTCGCTCAGTGTTTCTGCTTTTTAATAAAAGATAAGTGCACTCCCACCTCCTCCCCTACATTGTTAACCTACATCCTGACTTCTCTGCCCATACCCTCTGAGATAATTGTGTGGGAATTAAGGTCTCTAAGTCCAAAGGAGAGAGGAGAGGCCAACTTGCTTTGCATGGGAAAATGAATGAGCAGGGTAAGCGGTGGTGAAGCTCATCTGTGGGAGGATGGCTGCGTGTGGGTCTAGATTGCTGGAGAGGCCAAGGAAGGGGAAAGTCACAGGCAAAATGGGTCTGCCTGCTGTTGCTGTGACCCAGAGAGGACTTCCCAGGCCTGATTTATGCCAAGAGACTCTTTAGAGATGACAATTTTTCTTTTGGTGTTATTTGTACAATTTCTGGGAATAACCTTACGGATCCAAGTAAATGTTATATTCAGATTACCAAGGATGTTAAAATAAAATGAAATAAATTGTGAGCGATTTACAATCGTATTGTTATTTAAATTGCCACCCTCTGAAATGTCTGTATACTGAGAAGTAACAGTTGACATTTTTGTTGATTATCTTTCCATAGATCTTCCTATGCAAGTGCACACACCCACCCCTGTAGACAGTTTTACATAGAAAGCGTCATAAGCCTGATTTTCATTATGAACACTTATTGTGATTAGCCTTTTTTCTACTTTCTTTTTCTTTTCTGTCATATATTCTTCCAAACAGTTATTCACTGTACAATCATATACACATATTCACATATATGAAATTACTTGTGTGTAAAGAAACATTTATAATTATTATTATGTCCAACATTTACAGCAGGACCAAGTATTTAGAACAATGCCTGAAACATTATAGATGCTCAATAAATATTTGTTGAATAAATTACTGGTTTGTTTTATTAAAATAGGATAATTAAATATGTATATGTAATGTTTATATAATCATTTTAATTAAATATAATTATCCCATCTTTCTGTATCTGGATTTATCACTCAATGCCTCTAGGTAATCTCTCCAATATGTATTTAATTAATTATTATGAATGGTTGCCTAATATCTCATGATTATATGAAGGTAACACCAATTTACTTATCTCTAATTGATAATCAAGATGCTTTTATTTTTTTGCCACTATAAATAAATAATAGTTAACACCTACTGAGTGAGTACCAAAGGCAAAGCACTTTTGGGGGGGGGCACTTTACATGTTTAAAGTCACTAGTTATGGTTATTCTCATCATTGTAGGAAACTGAACCCAGGTGGGTAAGAAATTTGCCCAAGCCTATACAGCCAGAAGGCAATAAACTAGTCAATATGGCTCCAAAGTACTTTTCAATGAACTGCTTCTATACAAGACAGTAACCAACACAAACAGCCATCCTAACAGAATGGTGCTTTATTTCTAGTTGACAGTTTCCCAGGAGAGAAATTATTATGGAAGAATATGTATATATTTTATACTGACAGATTGCTTTGCAAAAAGGCAGTAACAGTTTACATTTCCACCAGCTTGTATGAGATAAGTTCTTTCCTCCAGCAGATTCTCATCTTAAAATGTTTTTATTATTTCTTTTTTGCCAATCTGGTGGGTGAAAAGTGATATTTTTATATTTATATGCTTCTCTGACAGTAATGAGGTTGATCATAATATGTTTATCAGCCATTGGATTTGCTCTACTGTAAATCGCTGTGTTAGTCAGGGTTCTCCAGAGAAGCAATATATAGAGAGTATATTCATGAGATTATGGAGGCCTGGAAAGTCCAAAATCTTCAGGGTGGGCCAGCAGGCGAAGACCCAGAGAAGGGTTGCTGGTGCAGCTCAAGTCCAAAAGCCATGAGGCTGAAAACCTAGCCCTCCTTGCAGCAGAGCTACTGGGTCTGGCTGCCTGGACTGGAAGTCTTATTAGTGGCTGAGTTTCTTAAAAAAGAATAATAACAACCTGCTTCATATGGCTTCTGGGAGCATTGAAGGAATTGCTTCACACTTTATAACTTTCACCTGCTATTTGTTCTATTATAGGGATTTGTAAATTGTTTTTAGCAAATTTTAAGAATATAGGGATGAAATCACTGCCTGTCATTTATGACACATAGGATAACAACAAAAAGCAGCATATTGGGATCTTCTGTCCCTAACTAACAATCTGCTTTCTACAGAGTAGGAAACTTTTATAGAAGATACATAAGAATCTTTTATGGAAGATACACAAGGGTGGATTTCAGATCATTGTTCCCCGTTTCACTACAAGGAGTTTTTCAAAGACTTTTTCTATTTTGCTGAAAAATTTTTAAATGGCAAGCAGTTAGACCACTCATCAACAGAAGTGTTATTTTTAGTGAGGCTAATAACTTTTGGAATCTTAGAAGTGTGAAGATTTGTAGTGGTGATGAACCTCACATCCTGAAGTCAGCCATATGCAGTGCTAGGTTGCTTGGAATTAGTCATTTTGGGGAAGTCTTGGTCTAGGTGAAATACTTTAGAAGTGTTGCTTAATTACTAACGCTCTGGCTTAGAAAAAGAAATACCAAGCCCCTAAGAAATTAACATCAGAAATAAGAACTTTGAAAACTTACTTTCCAAAAAATTATCAGTCTTGTTTTAACTTTGGTTTTCTCACTTTACAACTCTGGTTTTGTTTCAAGGATTAGAAATAATGCATTTAAAGTACTCTGGCACAAAGTAATGTCACAGTAAACTAGCTATTACTGTCACTTCCTGCCACTGAGAACCATATATAGTCATATTCTAATATTGTTTGTTACCTTCTCCCAACGCCTACCACATATCTGACTAGCATATAAATATTTATCAAATGAGTGACATCAGTGATGGTTTGCACTCTGCGGCCCAACTCAGGAGTCCCTCCTGCGGAGTTAGACTCTGTGACCAGAGTAAAATGAACAAAACACTCCTCTCCAGCTTGCCCCCAGGGCTGAACTACAGTTCCCAGAATGCACTCGAACGACGTGGTTGCAATGCACCCTGGGGAAAAAAGTCCCTGGCTCTCCCTTGGTCAAGTAAGAGAAGCGCTATAGTTTGGGAAAATACGCGGGTTCTAGCGTAGGCACAGAGACCGCGCAAATTTACTCGTCTTAGTTCTACGGCACTCATTTTGACTATAGGAAGTTCAGCCGGAAGGATTTAAGAACCGTTCCACTTCCGGTAAACACCGGGAGCGATTGGAAGATGGCGGCCTCCAAGGTGAAGGAGCTCCCTACAGCAGCTGGGAAAAAAGAATTTCGTAACCAGAAGCCGAAGCCGGAGAATCAAGGTAAGGTAGTGTGAAAACCGAAGCCTGGGTTTGGATGTTTAGTTGCGATTGCTTGCTTCGTTTGCTGGGAACGTGTAACGCCGCCTTGAGTCCGTTTTCTAAAGTTGAGTATCTGTAATTGCTGGTTTTTAGTGTTATGGCCGGACCTGCGAAAACCATCTGGTGGATGTGGTGGTGTTGGTCACATGTTCCTAACTAATCACTTTTGCTAAGGGACCCCAAAATGAAGTTGTGGAATTTGTTTTCTGTAAAATGATGAGGAATAAGAAACTTCGTAGGGCGTTGCAAGATTTGGCGGCGATGGCTGGAAGTCGTTATGAGTGATGCAGTAGGAGTAAAAGGCCGTTATATATTTAAATGAACGCTGATAATGAAGGAGTGAGACAGGTATAGTGAGATATCTGGAGTGTCCTGAACACCAGTTTGTCGGTTCGTGAAGACATTTTGGAACATTATCGTTCTTGTTTGTCACAATGCTAAATATTAGATGATACGGCCCCTACTCTTTAGACTACCTTGCTTTTAAATTGTTGCCCTGGTTTATGTTGATTTTACCCATTTCTTCACTATGAACTAGAGAAAGAGAGGCTAAAAAATAGGTCAGGGTTTCAGCAGTCCTTCTTACTGAAAGTGTTAAAACCTCGAACTCTTATTTTATAGGCATTAGAAAGTTATTAAAGGTCTTTCGCTTTTTAATTATGAACGTGCATAGCAGAGTATAGTATATGTACACCTTAAAGAATAAAACCAACACGTGAGAAAGGAGCTCTCAGACTACTGAGCAAGGCACTATGGTGCTCCAAAAGCCCCCCTGCAAGTACCTCTCAGATTACTATATTCTTTTTATTTTTGAGACATGAAGTAACCGTTCTAAATTGCGTGATCATTCTGTTCCTTTTTTTCTTCATAATCTTTACCACCTATGCACAAAGCGGTTTGATTTTGCCTGTTTTTTGAATTTTATTTGCGTGCGAGAGGACTGTAGGTATGGTTCTGTATCCTGCTTCTTAGGCTTAACTTTGTTTTTGTTATTTAATCAGGGCAGTACTTGAAGCTGTAGTTTTTGTTTTTGTTTTTCCACTACTATAATACGTTCCCTTGTTTGAATATATGCTGATTTATATTTTCACTCTACAATTGGGGGATGTTTGCATTGTTCCTATTGTTTACTATTAAAACAGTACTGCTATAAACATCTTGTGTATATATCTTGGTTTACATATTCCAGAGTTTCTCTAGGTTATAAACAAGGGATTGGAATCCTTGAAGTGTAGGGTATGTGCAAGTGGATGAGAGTTCTCATTGCTCTACAAATACACTAACACTTGGCATTATCTAGATTATGAACTTCTGTCATACTGGTAAATATGAAGTGGTACCTAGTTGGGGTTTTAATTTGAATTTACTACTAATGAAGTTACACATCTTTTCACATGTTTTGGGGCTATTTGTATTTCCTCTATTGTGAAACTCCTTTGTATTTTTTGCCAGTTTTTAAATTCAGAGCCATTGAAGTGTTTAAATTGGGTAGGGACTTGGTCACATGTGCTTTATAAGCAATGATAGTTGTAGATTTTGAGTGTTTTTTAGGATACTGGTAGTGAATGATGAAGATTAGCTAATTCTCTGTGATTTCAACCAGAAATAGCAAAGTGGGTGTGAGTATAAGAAACAAAAAGCAGGTTTACCTGATTGAAGTGGATAACATGGATCATAGATGTGCTTCTCAGACTTTAGTGTGCATGCAAATCTCCTGATGAGATTGTTAAAACAGATTCTTGGGCCTCATCCCAGAGATTGAAATTCAGTAGACCTGGAGCGGGGGCCAAGAATTGCATTTCTAACACATTCACAGTTTATGCTCACGCTGCAGGCCTGTGGATCGGACCTTGGAATAGTACTGATTTAAGTTATAGCTGTTGGATTTAAGAGGTTCCTAAAATCCAAGACCAGGAGTTTAAATAAATGATGTGGGAGATAATTTATGGCCCTTCAGAGGCGTTTTGTTTTAACGAAAGGACTGAATGTCCTTTATAAAATAGGAAAAATAATACTGGTTCTTCCTACCTTTCACAGCTGCCGTGAAGGGTATGCAGAAGGAAGGCAGGTGAAAACTCTTTGGAAAACCTCAATAACCTGTATCACTGGTTATTAACTGAAAGTGTATACCAAAGTATCCGCTTTTAAAAGATTTTATGCACAGGCACGCACATCCAAATATAGTGTGTGTGTGTATATATATATATATATATATATACACACACGCATATTCAAGCTTCACTTCAGTAAAATTTGAAAGGTTAACTTATATTTAAAATACTCTCGTAAACAAAATGGTATTTGAATCTTCAACTTAAACACAGTGGAATGTAGTGGAAATTCCTTGAGTACCCATTATCTGTCAGGCATATGCTAATTAGTGTGGATCCAAGGGGATCCCTTCCCTTAAGGAACTTTGCTTTATGAGGCAACTGAAATGTGTACGGATAATTTTAATACAGTGTGTTGATGATAATGATAGATGCCTGTTTTTTGACTGTTGAATAATCTAAAAAGTATAGGAAGAGGGCCCTGGCTAGGTTGTTCAGTTGGTTGGAGTGTCATCCCATGCACCAAACGGTTGTGGGTTTGATCCCCAGTCAGAGTACATGCCTAGGTTGCAGGTTCAGTCCCCAGCCAGGGTTTATGGAAGACAACTGACCCATGTTTCTCTCTTCCCCCCCCCCCCAAATCAATAAACATATCCTCAGGTGAGGATTTAAAAAAATAAAAAAAAAGCATAGTAAGAGGAAGTGCAAGGAGAGTACTGGAAACTTGTAAATCTATGCATACAAATGTCCAAAAGTAGTTTAAAATCTGATGTGTACATTTTTTTCCTGTAGATGAATCAGAACTTCTCACTGTTCCTGATGGTTGGAAAGAACCAGCTTTTTCCAAAGAGGACAATCCCAGAGGACTCTTGGAGGAGAGCAGTTTTGCAACTTTGTTCCCAAAATATAGAGAGGCTTACTTGAAAGAGTGCTGGCCATTGGTACAGAAAGCTTTGAATGAACATGTATGCATATTTTATATATTTCTCTGAGAGTTTACTCCTGCTTATACCTTTTAAGTAAATGTGTATGTGCTGGTGGATTATTTTTAAAGCACCAGCTACCATAATTGGTTAATTTGGTTCCTTTGGTATTTTAAACATCCTGGGTAAGCTTTATTCTTATAATCCATTTGTTTTTAATTTTGTGAGTAATAGAATACTTTGAAAAAGTCATATACCTTTAAAATTGTGGGGATTTCATGGACTGTCTGAAACTCATGTGTGAACTCCGAGTTTCAGAACGCTGCTCTGTGCAATGATAGTTGCAGTGTTCCTGTACAGTTTGAGTTGCATGATTTTCACTTTAAATGAAAACTTTGGATGTGCCAACTCCCCCCTATTTGTTGCTGCTCTCATGCCCTTAGAGCATCATACTCGTTTTTATTTTTCAAACTGTGTGCTGAAATTGATTAGTGGAGCCAGAAGTCAATTTAGTGGCTATAACAAGTCCTTAAAAAAATGAATGTATCATATGTGGTAAGGATCATTTTATGAAGCTTTTGGTTCATTTATTATGTGTGTGTATATATATATGTGGGTACTAGGCTGTTATAGCAAATATGTTTCTCAAACTGAGGGACTGCTCTGGAGTCATTGGTGCCCATCGGGTATGAGGGTGGCTGGCAAACTGCAAGCGGTGTTTTACAGCTTTCTGCACCTGAGATTGGCCTTCCTGGCCCACTCACTCTCTCTGGCTCTCACTCTCACTGTTGTAAACTAACAGAGACCCAATCTTATGTTGAATAATCCATTACTCACTATGTTGAAATATTCTTCAGAATATGCCCGTATATCAGAAAATAGCATTGTTGCTTGCTTTGTTGGTTCTTTCTACTGAGAGTTGATGCATAATTTTCCAATTATTGCTTCTTTCTGAACCAATTATAATTTGTTTTTACTTTGTTTGTCTTTAGCTAATTCAAACCAACTTGAAAAAAAGTTGGAAAGGGAAGTCCATTCTCACCTTAAGGAGCAGATGGTGGTTTAGAGCAAGGTCCAGGATAGGGAAGCCGTACAGCTCTACATTTTTACCTTAGGTCTTAAGTATGGATTGCCATATTTTTTAAACAAGAGATCATCTTTATTCCAGTAAGTTCAAAGTATTCTAAATCCAACTAAGTATAAATGGTTTCAATTGTTTGAGTTTCTATATATTTTGAAGTATGAAAGTAATCAAGCATTCTTTATATTAACTACCCAGTCAAGGAGGAAGTTGACAGAATTTTAGAGAGCTTAACTCATAGTAATTAATACATTAGGAAAGGCTCTATAATAATCTAAAATTGAATTCATTTTTAGACAACAGCTTGTTTGCTCTTTCCTTTTTACAGCACATTAATGCAACCCTGGACCTGATCGAGGGCAGCATGACTGTTTGCACAACGAAGAAGACTTTTGATCCGTACATCATCATTAGGGCCAGAGACCTAATAAAACTATTGGCACGAAGTGTTTCATTTGAACAGGTAGGTTTGCAGTTCAGGAGATTTTGCCTTACTTGTGCCAGCATTAGAGACAGCATGTAACACTGACCCATCCATCCCTGCCTTCCCTTCTTCCCTTGCTCTCTTCGTAGTGTTTTCATTATTCTGCTTAGATGTCAGTGTGGGCTTTGAAAAGAAATGTGTATGTAAAGAATATTGGTGGCTTGTTTTCTTTATTTTTTTCAAAAGGCAGTACGAATTCTTCAGGATGATGTTGCATGTGACATCATTAAAATAGGTTCTTTAGTAAGAAATAAAGAAAGATTTGTAAAAAGAAGACAACGGCTTATTGGTCCCAAAGGATCTACATTGAAGGTACATTTTATCAGTAGAAAACTTGAGTATCTTCCTCTGTCATTATTTTTCCAGTGTATTTCAACTGAATTTCAACTTTCCTTTTGATGCAGGCATTGGAACTCTTAACAAACTGTTACATTATGGTTCAGGGAAACACGGTTTCAGCCATTGGACCATTTAGAGGCTTAAAGGAGGTGAGAATAAATTAATATCTTTAGTTAATTTTCAGCAGAGAACAAACAATTTGGTTACATTATTTCATGATTATTGTATTTTTCTCCTGAACCCTAACATATTATGGGTGACCTTTGACAATTATAGAGACATCATTTTTCTGTTAGAGGGTCTGCCCACCATCACTCCTTTGACTACAAATTTTAAATGTGTAATTAGGCTCTTAGTCTGTAGCACATAGGAAAACATGATGTAGTCACATGTGCTCAAATATTAGGGAATCGAACGGCTCTTGTTAGTTGCAGGAATGTATGTATATAGCCAGTAGAGACCAAACTCAAATTTGTTTTCCTTTAAGATATATTTTCTTTTGTTTGAATTTATTGTGATGTTTATTTAATGTTTTCATGAACATTTTTGATGTTGTTGTTGTTTGGATCTGGCTGTGAGATCTTGCTTCTTCCTTTCCAGGGTCTTTAATGGAACTCTATTGGACCTCTTTCTTGTAAATTGCCTGCTCTTTTCTTCTGGGGCAATATAATAATAAACTTAACTACATTGAATACTTACAGTTCTATAAAGTCTAAATATATTCAGTTCTTACAACAGAACACTGAGGTATTTTCATTTCTACATTACAAATGAGAAAGCTGGAACAGAAAAATAAGTGACTCCCATAAAAAGTGGCAGTTCCATTATATGAGCCCACATTTTCCGATTCTAAATCCAGCCCTATTCCCTCTAAATCGCAGTTCCAGAGAGTTGTACTAGTTCTGTGTGTCACATTTTACCAGTATAATTGAGTAATTTTATTGTACCTAGGGGAGGTTGACTATTACGAAATATGTAGCAGCCACTAGAAGCAGTTGAAGGAACTGTCATATACAATTTGGTAGCCATTACCCAGTTTGTAGGATAATTGACAATATAATAATCATCTACCTTATACCTACTTCAGTAAAATCATTATAAATGACTAATTCATCTAATTCATTTTTCTTTGCAAATTTCAGGTTCGAAAAGTAGTCCTAGATACTATGAAGAATATTCATCCAATTTATAATATTAAAGTGAGTATTAATTTATATATTACTGTGGCATTAAAGAACAGTGGTTGTCACAGTTCATTTAGTTACAGAAAACTTTCTTGAAATTAAGTTTTTATAAAAATCTAATGTACAAAACAGACAAAGCAGAGCTATTTGAGTTAAATTAGAGGTAAAGGTTAGCCCACTCAACTCAACCCATTACTGTAGTTACTTCCTTGGAAGCTTAGGAGCCCAGTACTGACAGGGACACTGTGATGTATTATATAGTTCTAATTCAAAGAAGGGCCTCACAGAATTTGCCACAGATGATACCAATTCTGTTTTCTTAGATTGTGACCCCATGTATTATATTTAAAGATGTGGTGTTTCATAATTTTGCCTTTTTCTATTAAATAAAGCCTGGAATATTTCATGTTGCATTAAAACCTACTTCTTTTGGTAAGATGAGATTTAATACTCAAATTAATTAGTTTACCCAAAATGCATCTGCATCATCTCTTTTATATTATTTCCCTTTTGAGAGAGATCTGTTACATCCTTGTGTACACAATTCATGACTGAACTTGGAAATGTAACCATGGTATAATGAGCTGTTTTATGATGGGTATTTATTAAGCAACCCACTTAGATATGATGAAGTTAAAAAGTCTCTGTTAGATTGAGGTGGAAGAGCAATTTTGAGGTACATCAGGACATTAAAGAAAGCTAGTCATGCATCTGATGCCTGGTTTGCATCCTTTGATGTTCCAATCTCTGTAAAATTCAAATGGAGTGGATAAAATGTGAGAATACTGTTTTTATCTGATCATGAGAAAGTTTGCTTTTTTGGCCCTGTGATATTTCAGGTGCTACCAACAGCTTCCTGCTTGCAGGGAATTCTATGAAGAACTCTCCCTGCTCTTAAGTTGAACTTTAAGGTTTAAAGAAATAATGTTTGAAAAGCTGAATTAGTCTCTTTCATCTTAATTTATTTTAACACTTCTGAATTTCTTAATCTAAATTTCTGATGGTTTTCTGATGCTTGGTTAAAAAATCAAGATTACATCTTTTTTTTTCTTTATGGCATTGTTTTAATCCTACCTCAGAAACTAAGCACTGTTTATAAGAACAATATTTATAATGTCTTGGTTTGAAAAATGTATGAATTCTGAAATTAAAATTTTTACATTGTATATTGCATGACTGAAGACCTTAATGATTAAAAGAGAATTGGCCAAAGATTCTCAATTAAGATCACAAAGTTGGGAAAGATTTTTGCCACAGTTCAAGCACAAAAATGTAAACAAACGCAAGGAACCAAAGAAAAAAACTGTGAAGAAAGAGTATACACCATTCCCACCACCACAGCCAGAAAGTCAGGTCAGTGTTAACTGTTGAATTTTGTTACATGAGGAAGAAACTTATAATCAATTTTGTCAAAAACTTTACTAAGGTATTTTAGGTGGAATTTCTGTGTGTGTGTATGTGTGTTTGAGTGTGTAGAGAGATAAGAAAACTGAACATAAATGTAAATAGGCTTATTTTGAGCAAAGTACATTGGGGTGGGGACTTTACATCGTGACTGTAAACTACGTCAGGGTGGTTGGTGCCACTCATGTCCCTGTAACCACTAAAAAACTCAGTGATTTAGCCCAAAATGATCTCTGCTCTGCTTTGGCTCCATTCCTGTGGCCGTGAGCTATATGACTACTCCAGTATTGAAATCTTAAATTCTAGTGTCTATCCTTTTCCAAAGCTATGAATGCCTTCCATTTTTTCAGCTGTCGTCTGGATTCATTTCTTTTCCAAAATTTCCTTTTCTGTTTTGCCCATCATCGTTTTCTTTCGTGCCCCCTTTTCCTTCTGTCACACACGCCCAGCAAAACTCTTAAACTTGAATCAGTCCTAAAACTTGACTTCTTTTCCATAATGTGGCTACCAAATGTAGGCAGGGAAAGTCATACCTTTGGATTATACCCACCGTAAATTTATGTTTCCAACCTCAAATAGGTCCTCAGTATTTTGTGGCAGGTGTGTGAATCCTCTTAATTGTTTAGGCACCCTCTCACTCCTAGCAGATGGCATCGAATTTTATTTTCCTAAAATATTTGAGACCACCAAGCATGAACTCTTCCAACCTCCTCTTCTCTCATCTACTTTTTTTCCCATCTGTATCCTTACTTTGCCTGCTCTTTTACTTCCGTCTTCACCTATCTCCTGAGGGATCTTGCTTCATTATTCCCTCCCTTGGACACTCTTCCTTTTCTGCTAGTTCTTTGTGCTCAGCACGTGAACCATCCCTTTCTGGGGACTGTCTGCCTTCTCTGCAGCCCTGTGTTTGAAGTTGTTTGGGGAAGGTTTGATGAAAGATCAAAGGGAAAAGAATGATGATGGAAACACAGTGGAGGTGCTGAATCATGAGGTCTCCTCTGGAAAGGGAAGGAAGCGAAGCCAAAAAGAGACTGATAGTTGGGGGAAAGTGGAGTGATCCAGTTACTAAACGGTACTTCCATAACACCTGCTTTACTTTCTGTGGCCCTGTCCTCAACTTAATGGTCTCATCTCTCTCCCTTCAGCTGCAAGCTGCTTAAACAGTAGTATCTCAATTGATTCATTCTGCCACTTAATTGCAAATAATTTACTTAACCTCTGCATGCCTCAGTTTTCCCATACATAAAACGGGGGTAATGATAACACCTATGTCAAAGAATTGTTAATGAGAATTAAATGAATTAGTAATTGTAAAGAGCTTACACTTCTAAAGAGTTTAGAATATTATTTTAAGATATAATAACACTATGTACGTGCAAGGTAGGTCAGTTATCAGTGTCAGCTATGTAGTAAGTGAATGAGCTGTAGCTTTCTCTAATTAGTGTTTCAGTAGTCACCAAATCCTGACAATTCTTGCTTTTCATTTTGCATGTACTACCTTTATTTCAGGCTTTTACTGCTTCCCCGTTCATCTGTACCTTAAAAAGTGCTGCTTTGGTCTCTTCATTCTTCTCAGAAACTTCAGTTACTTCTAAATCACATCCCATCTCCTTCGTCTGATGTTCAAGCTTCCTCAAAAACTATTCTTCCAGTTTCCCATTACACTTTTCTGAATCATTGGCCTTCCACCCTGCATAAAGCAGTGCATGCATGTTCAGTGAACACATCACCTACTTTCCTACCTCTGTGCTTTTGTGCATGTGTTCCCTTCAGCTTAGAGTACATTTCCTTTTTTTTCTCTGCTCCCTTTGTGAGTTAATCATAGATTTTGGACCCCACTGTTTTTACCTCATAGACATTCCTTTCTTAGGAAATGACTCTCGTCTACATTATTTCTGACATAATTGTAAATACTGATTTCAACAGATTGATAAAGAATTGGCTAGTGGTGAATACTTCCTGAAGGCAAGTCAAAAGAAGCGGCAGAAAATGGAAGCAATAAAGGTAACACTGTCTAGCTTACAATATTAATAGCTAAGTTCATAGAAACTTGAATTGTTATTTAACTATAAATTGTGTTTTACTAATATATTTTTATAATGTAGGCTAAACAAGCAGAAGTTCTCACTAAGAGACAAGAGGAAAGAAACAAAGCTTTTATTCCACCTAAAGAAAAACCAGTTGTGAAGCCTAAGGAAGGTAAAGCTTGCTTTCCAATTCTTGGTGTGATGATAAAGTCTGTTATATTAAAAGTAAACCCCTAGTGAATTTATCTAAATCTCTTTGAGAGTTAAGTAAAGAAATAGCCCTGTCTTCCATTAATTCACACAGCATTTCATTAATCACTAACCCCAGGGACAGGAGGCGACTGAGGTAACGTACAAGTTAGGAGCAGCGGATGCCTGTGTTCAGAGCGCCCCAGACTGCCAGTCCTCTCGTGGCCTCTGGATGTGCTGGGGAAGGACCTTTTGTTTTGAAAGACATAAACCAGCGCAGTGACACCTCTGTGAAAATAAAAGTAAAGCCCTGAGATCCTGAGCTCTGCTACCGTGCCTCTCAAAAAGGGATTATCAGAAGTTGTGCTTTTCTTCTCTTATTTTGATCTGTGGCTTAAAGTTTCGTTCCTATATTGTTAACATGGATTTTCATCACCCTGGGCTGAAGGACAGCAAAAATACAGGGAAAGTTTTATTCAGGGGCTACTGAACAGATGCTCCGAGGAAACATTCTCGTGCCTTTTGTTCTCCATTCCTAGTATCATTTTGACTCATCCTCTCCTCTTTGCAGTTTCTTTCCCACTAGTAACATTGTGCTATTTATTCATAAAGCAACTCTGAAAAGTGGCCAGTGGCACATGAGGGAGGGGTGTCCCTGGCAGCATTGTGTGCGACCTGTTAGTCAAAGCCTGATAGAGCATATTATTAATTGATATAATATCTTACATTACATCGGTGTTAACCGCAGTAAAAATACTATATTCTGTGTAGACATTGGTTATGTAAAAGTTAAAAATACCATAAGCATTATATTTCCAGTTCGTACAATATGTCAGTCATGCACTTTGAAGGTAGTTCAATAATTAGTTTAATCTCAGTTTATTAGGATTAAAAATGTAGCTGTTCCACTACAGTGAATGCTTTAACTCTCTGCTTGATTTGCTGGGTAGTTTGTATATTTTATCTTGTGAGTTTTTTATGCTCTAAATACTGTTCTTCAAATGGTAGGGGAAAGTTGCATTTTTTCCACTGCTTTTGTTCAAGCTTTTGACATTGATTAAATGGTTGAGTTCTGTTAAGAGCACCTCTGAATACTTTCAGATTATTGTTTTTATAAAATTTGACTAGTCGTTCATTGAACTAACATTTGGAAAACTTAAGTTTTTATGTGGTATTAAATGACGGTATTGACCTATTAACTTTATGATTAATTATAATTATTGAAGCCTGAAGGACTACATGTAATATTCTTAGTGAAATGTAACTTTAAATTATTTTAATGTGCAAGATGCAAAATTAGCATATTAATGAATACTGTATAAATTTTCAAAATATGGGAAAGAATGTAAATAAAAGTAATCTAATTTTACTCATAAGTATGATTTAAGGGGGGAAATACAGTTTTAATATAGTTGAATTCAGTAACTAGTTCAAATAGCTAAACAAGAATGCCTTTTTCATGTATACTTTCACTAATGTATTCTTAAAGTATTTTAAGACTTTTTTTTCTTAAATTTCTAACTTTCCTTTAGGCAGATGGCAGGTGTTTTATATTTTTTAACATGACCTCCCAATTATAACAATATTCTGAAATTATTGTCCTAGATACATATTCTTTATGTTTTATTTGGTAAAATCTAAAGAATTACATGTTTTGTGTTTTTAATTTGTCTAGCTTCTACTGACACAAAAATTGATGTGGCTGCCATCAAGGAGAAGGTTAAGAAAGCAAAGAATAAGAAACTAGGAGCTCTTACAGCCGAAGAAATTAAGCTTAAAATGGAAGCAGATGAAAAGAAAAAGAAGAAAAAAAAGTAATGCACTCACAAAAACACTGAACTAGAACTTACTAAGCTATCTCCTTTTGTAAAGGACTTTGAGATACTAGGGCATTAATTGCCTTATGTGTAAGAAGTAATACTCTGATTACTTTTTTCTGAGTTTTTCTTTATCAGTGTTTAAATATACAGCTGTTTTTTTATGAATTATTATAGTCTTCATGTGTTTTTTGGAAAACTTTATACTACAGAGTGGTATATATCTCTTTGTACACATTGTACCTAATAATCTGTTCCAGGCAGGCTTGGTCTAGCATGATTTTAGGAGTAATTCTTTAGGGTGTTTATATAAAGACTTTTGGAATGTGGCTACTGTAATTATCCATCAAATTGAGTGTCTGATGACATTGGTTAGTCTTTAAATACAGGGTGGGACAAAAGTAGGTTTACAGTTGTGTGTATGTGAAAGTTTATTCTTGTATTATTATTTATTAATTATTGTATTATTTTTTCATATGAACAACTGTAAACCTACTTTTGCCCCACCCTGTATAACTATGTCCCAGCATTTGGTTTTGAGGAAAATAAATGCAGATTTTTTAGTGCTCTCTCCACCGATAACAAACGTTTAGGTTTATTCCTTTTTGTGATTTTATTTTACAGTTTGTTCCAACATTTAACAACCCATAAGCCAAAAAAAAGAAAGAAAAAAAGCCTATTCAGTCATATTCCTTAATTACTATTCTATTCGAAGTCTGGGGAAGTGGAAAGACATCAAATTGCAAGTGGTTAAAGTAAAACCAGATATTTAGAGTTAAACAGCATGCAAGAAGTTATGTAGAAATGTTTTTACTAATGGAGACCAGTGAAGTTATGTAGAATCACCTAAATCGAGCTCACCCATTTTAGGTTACTTACTGAAAGTCACAGTTGAGGCAGCCTGAAAACAGTACTCATTCACAGAAAAATGGAAAGTAAAAGTGAGCTTATCCTGTAGAGGTAGGACATTGAACAGTTTCTTCTCTTGTTTATGGCTTTACTGCAGCAATATATTTTTTTCTGGCATGTTTTAAAATTAGAAATACACCCAACTGTTATTTTGAAAAAGTCTAAAAGTGAGTGAGTTCATAAACTTTTTTTCCGCATTGTACTAATCCAAAAGAACTAAACAAGGCTATTGGTGCTTGACCAAAATGGTAATAACAGCACTCAGTACTGGTGAACTAACAATGAGAGAGATATGTATCTATTATGTGAATGCTATATTTTGCCATGTGTAATGTGCACTTTTTTGCCCAAATTTTTGAGGGAAAAATAAGGATGCTCATTGTACATTGGGTAGTACCTGAAATACCTTGTACCTGTTCTTGTGTTTTATAATTATTTCTTACACAAAATTTCTTGTATATATGTTCACAAATAAATGCTAAAATTCCTTTATAATTCAGAAAACAAGTATCTAAATATAATAAAGAATTGAATTAAAAATTTATGACAAAAGTTTTTTCTGAAAGTTCGGACCAAAAATGTGGGTACGCATTATACACGGCAAAATACAGTATTATCAGCCAGTCCTGGATACACAGTATTGTAGTAACCTGTGAAACAAAATATAATATCCTCTCTAACATTTTTTCTCATGATGCAGTAACATAATTCACAAAAATCTTAATGAAACAATTCAAGATTTACATACATACCTGTTACTTTGTCTTGCTGTGGGCTAGCTGTAAAGTTAGAGAAAAGGAAAAAAAAATAAGTATAAAAAGTCAAGTTTCTAATAATAACCATTAACTGTTGCTTTGGCTTTATTGCAGAGATTTTCGAAGGTTAAGTTTTAAAGATTTAATTGTACTAACTGCACTAAGTTGATACCTTTAAAGCAACATTTTATATAAACATATAAACTTTTTATATACCACTACTGTAAATGGAAAATCATTTTATGTACCATATCTAGCAGATAATGAATACATTTAAAATTAAAACATGAGAATTTTAAAATAAAGAATTAAATATTAGTAGTACTCAGTGTGAACAATTTATTTTTTTAATTTTCTTAAAAGATTTTATTTTTTTAGGGGGAGAAGAGGAGAGGGAGAGAAACATCAATGTGCAAGAGATATATCCATTAATTGTCTCTCGCACACCGCCAGCCAGGCACCTGGCCTGCATCCAAGGCACGTGCCCTGACCGGGAATCAAACTGGAGACCTTTTGGTTTGCACAATGATGCTCTTAACCCACTGAGCCACACCAGTTAGGGCAATGTGAACAATTTATTAAAATATTTTTCTGGGCCCTGGCTGGTGTAGCTCAGTGGATTGAGTGCTAGCCTGCGAACCAAAGGGTCGCTGGTTCAATTCCCAGTTGGGGCACATGCCTGGGTTAAGGTCCAGGTCCCCACCAGGAGGCACTTGAGAGGCAACCACACATAGATGTTTCCTCTCCCTCTCTTCCCCTCTCTAAAAATAAATGCTAAAAAAAGAAAGAGTAAAAAATACTATTCTGAAAATGTTTCTCCCTTAGAAGAATGATCAGTAATAAAGAGACAGTGGCATCCCTCTTATCCATTCCAATATGTCATTAAATTATAAATAGGGCATTTCACAATCATAAAGCCATGATTATTCCTCTCCATTCATTGAGTTGTATTCAGAATTTGACCTTCAGAGCACCAGGAAGAAAACTCCGCATCTGCTTTAGCCTTCTGGATACTTTTATTAGTCAGACGTGTTTTGCACACCAGTTCTGCTCCAGCTGTGGATGGATTCCTGTGGTGGAACCAAGAAGGAGCTGACCCTCTGGGTCCTTGTGAGCATCCCTCATCATCATACCTGTCATTGGCTATTTCTACACTCAGTTACTGTGAAACTGCTGCTCCTTTAACTTTTCTGGGCAATTCTATCCACAAAATCATGAATGTAATCTACTATTTATATTTTTTTCTTACATATATATTTTTTTTAATGTAAATGACTATTGAGACAATTACATCCATGCACTAGCTAAAATCGTCTTGTGTGCCATCCAGTAAGCCCAGCACATTTTCACAGAACTGTTCTGATTTGGCCTCCATGGGTGTCTATTGAACCTACAAACAGTATCTAGAAGACCACAAAGAAGGTTTTTTTCCTCCAGTGTTTGCCATAATTTGTCAGAGATGGAATCTGTGAACAAAATCTTTTATCCCCTAATTCTTGCCCCCCATGCAAGTTAACATGTTATTTTCCTCTTCATCTTTCTTAAGAGCCCAGGGTCTTTTTATAACTGGACTACAGACTTTGTTTTCTGAATTTTACTCCACAAGATTAGAGACCATCTCAAGCTGGGTCTCCTATATCAAAAGCTAAATCTCCAGCAATTTTCTTCTTGTTACTATCATTGTTACTAATTATATAAATTTTTAAAAGGAAGGGTTTGGCTTTTTTGAATTTTTTTTGTTTTTCGGAAACATGCACTCTGTTAGGGCTTGTTTGCCAGCCAGAATAGGCACCTTGGCTACAAAGGTGAATATTAAATGGGCATAATTCCTATCTGCCTGGAATTTAGTGGGAAAGACAGACAACTAACCAATGGCAACCATTAAATTACTCTAAGTTTGAATCACTGATTTTTTAAAAAAATTTTTATTGATTCATTTTTAGAGAGGAAAGAGGAGAGAAACGTCCATTTGTTGCTTCACCTATTTATGCCTTCATTGGTTGATTCATGTATGTGCACTGACCACAGATAAAACCCGCAACCGTGGCATAGTGGGGCAACGCTCTGACCAACTGAGCTACTCAGGGCCTGAATCCCTGATTTTAAAGAAGCAAATGAGGATTGTTCATGGGCATAAAAACATCAGATAGAATTTAGGTATAAAAAAACCACCAAAGCACCAAGAGTAGACTCAAGATTTGGGATTATAAGGAGGATAAATTTGGGGATAATAGAAAATAAATAATTTATTGAGTGCTCCTGTATGCCAAGTCCATGTTCTAAATATATACATATATTTTGTTTATTTTTCTTTGAATTGCTTCACCAAACCTGTGAAGAGGTATGTCATCTACATTTTAAAATTGAGGAAATAGGTAAAGACACCTTTCATTTAGAATATGTTTATCTCCTCGTTTTGGCTGCCTGTGTTTGTTTCTATGTATTAGGTAGATCTGCTACCTCACCCAGTCATGGTAGAGTAGCCCATTGTAGTAGGTGTCCTGTGGAGCCCAGTGGCGCAGTCTCCCTGGTCATCTGAGTCAGGTGCCCCAAGTATGTCCCCTGTGTGGGTTGCGTATGTCCTCCTGTTGCAGTTGAGCCTTGGCTGTTGGCACATCAATAGGATGTATCGACCCTTGTGCTGATTAGTTGTGAGGACTGGCCATGACTAGTTTTGTGCAGGGGCTGACCCTGCGGAGCAGGATTCGCTTTAGCAGAGCTCTGGTGCCTGGCAACTCTTGCCCTTTCAATGTGGTGTTTGCGGAGGTGGTTGGGTGGTGCTCTGGTGTGGTCTGAAGATGGCCACTGAGTGTGTTGGTTCTGGGGCCTCTGGAACCAACTCTGTGCTGCTTTTCTCACGTACAGACATGGAGAGTGCATGACCCCCACCAACACCTCACTCAGTGTGGATTCTGTTGGGACCCCTTGGTGCTGAGCTCACACTTAGGCAGTTCTGAATTTCATTCCTCGTTCCATACTTCAGAAATGGAGGCCCACAGAGAGGCCGGGACTGGACAGGGAAGGTGACAGGCAGACTGCCAGGTTAAGGCTCTATCCCCTCCCATAGGTTTGGTGTTAAAAATCAGAAATCCAAATGTTTTGGGAAGCTGTTGCCTATTCCTTCTTAGGTAAGACTGTTTTCCATGGGTATCCAGATCATTGGCCTCAAATACACACACACACACACACACACACACACACGCACGATATAAGGACTAGGGTTAAGATTCTAAGAGGAGCATAACCTGACTTAAGGAGAAATTAAAGTTGCAGGTACTACATACATGTGACAGCTCTCCTATAATTTTATAGGCATTATTTTACATATGACTGGGGACGTCCCTAAAGAGTGCATGCTAGAATACTCTCCATTGTGCAGACAGGACCCACAGCCCATGAAACGCACAATGGCTTTTACAAACTCCGGAAGAGGTAAGAATGAGGTGTTGAGCCTGAACGTGAGTCTGTGTCAAAGCTGGGACCCTGACTGTACCAGGCCTTTCCAGGCAGCTGTGATGAAAGGAATGTTGGGGACACTATGTAAAAATACGATCATGCATGAACAAGGAGGCTTAGTAGTCAGAAGTTGAGAGGACAATTTGGATCCCTGTGATTCAAAGATCAGACTCAGGAAAGAAACTTAAGGAAGTGAAGTCATTTCCTTGGTAACTGACCCCAACAGAACTTGGAACCTCTGTTACCAGGCATCCACGTTCTAGTAACAGCCCCATAGCCAATTCACTTGGCAAGAGACACAGATAGAGAAAGATGTTGTCTTGCTGTTTTCAGAATTCCCAGGGCCCTCACTTTTGGAAACCCCACCATGAGAGCCTTCTGTAATGCTGAAGACACTGGCTGGACCCTCGTCCTTAAAATCTATGGCCATTTTCCAGGATCCCCTGAGGTAACACTAGGCGACAAGGGACAGAAATATGCAAGCCAAGCTACCTGTGTAAGCCTTTGTGGGCGACCCCTATAGAATCCCCTCTATCTACCAGGAAGAGGGACATGAAGACAGGGCCTGCCCTGAGCAAGAGCAGGTACATAACCTGATACTCTGTCCAAATTACAAGGTGTGTCCAGAAGGTATCCAGCCGTGTCCTATGAAAAATATTAACATTCATTGAAGAAGGTACAAAATACAAGAAACATTGTACATAGGACAATGATGCCTCAGTCCCCTTCAAAGTAGGCACCTTGGGACCTCACACAGTTCCAATTGCCATCAGTTGCCCTGTCATAGTTTCCTGAATATCAGCAATGGTCTGAAATCTCTTCCTTTTCAAAGGTAATTTTAGTTTTGGGAAAAGCCAGAAGTTGCAGGGCACCAACTCTGGGTTATAGAGGGGCTAAGTTACCTGGGTGATTTGATGTTTTGCCAAACTGCACGAGACATGATGTATGAGTGAGTACGTTGTCATGATGTAGCTGACAATCACCAGTTGCCCATAGTTGTAGCCTTCTGAATTATCTGAATAGTTACCTCAGAGGAATGTTCAAAACTAATGTAAAATTTGACGAAGATTTGTTGCTCTACTTGCCCAGTCACTTTGAATGTGATGGCCATGGATTTATACCTGTAGTGAAAGAGAGATAAGGTTATGATTTTCACAACCCAACACCCTGCCTACAGCAGGTCTCCACTGGAGCCAGCATGCAGTACACAAGCTCACTCAACAGCATCTACCACCCCTGCTAATACAGTGAAGTTGTCATTATCCATGCATGCACATTCCAGTCCACCCTCCTTGGCTGCCAGGTCACATCCATGTCATGCAAACCATT